ATATATAGGAGGGAAAAGGGACTGAAACTGAAAAGGAGCCTAGGGGGGGATGTAGGAGGATGGCACGGATGGAGAAGTGGATGAGGTGCACCAACAAATTTGTATTATATGTTTATTACAGCAGAAATGTGATTTCCCTGCAGGAAGTGTCCCAGGCTTCCCTAGAAAGGCTACAGCTAGCTGCTACTGCTGATAATTGTTCAAAAAAACACAAACAATTATGTTTTTGTCCTACTCAAACTACTTGACTCATCASTGCAGTCAGAATTAAATTTTCTCTTCAAGAGGTCATTCAAAGAACTTTCTCCAACAGGTAAGATATTTGTGTTCAAAGCTTTTTCACAAATCTCCACTTCGTTCAGACCAYATCATCAACCTAAATATCAGACATTTACATCAAACTGGATTACCTCCAGGTCATCGACTGATATAAGTTGAGTTTTAGTTACTTTAACTAAAGACAGAACTGTTAGGAAATAACTAGATAAGAKGGTTTAATGAGCCAAGGTCAAGATCTAAACGTTTCTTTAACCGTTCTGTGAGATCCATGTCAACCAGGGCTTTAATCAATGCGGAAATCAGATGCAAATCCTATTTGTCCCTCAYATTTATGAGAAACTAATTCATTGTGTCAACGGATGAATAGTTGTCTGAAAGTGCACAATGAGGCAGAGCACCTGTGAGCATCTCATGTCAGAGGAGCTGACAGAATCAGAGACGATACAGACAAAAAGGAGAAGATTGCCAATGAAATGTCTAACGATAGGTTGATGGTGGTGGTGGGGGGCGGGCTTTGGGTCTTCACAGATGCTAAGACAAGAGACCCYCACCTCCACCATGCAACGTCTTTCTTTCTTTTACTTTCTTTCCTTCTCTGCTTTATCTCARTGCACCTCATCCAYTTCTCCATCCGTGCCATCCYYYTACATCCCTCCCAGGCTCCTTTTCAGTCCCTTTTCCCTCCATTTCTCTCCCCTTTTCCATTTCCCTCTCACCCCACCGCTCCACGTCTTTTCTCTTCCTCCAGCGATCTCTCTCTCTCTCTCTCTCTCTCTCTCTCTCTCTC